TGTCAGGCCAGGAGATTTCGCAGAGGCCACGGTTTCTTTCATGCAAATTGGAAAATAAACTTTTCCAGCATTTTCATGCAAGAGAGCAGTGAGGCTCTTGCTTTCCTTTGGCTACGTGGCAGGGATGCTGTTGTCCTCAGGGGGAAATATTGATGAGTTTTAATTGCTGGTGGGGAAAATAAAAAAAAAAGACCTTGGTTTTGGATGGGAACCTAGCGTGGCGAGAGGTGCCGGACAGGCCTGCAGGGCACTGGATAGGCACAGCATGGAGACTGTGACAAGACACCCCTGCCCCCCACATTCCCCATTGAGAAGGGGTGACCTGTTTCACCTCTGGCTTCAAGGTGTAGATTTCCAAAATTGAGACCTGCCAAACTCGTTCCACTTGGGAGACCAAAGGTCCATCAAATGGCAGTGACTCTCCTGCGCTCGAAGGGGATGCGAACTTGCCACATTGTTCCAAGGGAACAGCTCAGGATCCACCCAGGTGCTGGAGCTAGCTATGAATCCAGTCACAAATTACAGGCAGTGTTTTAATTCCTACACAAATCTAATGCAAGGGGAAGTAATGCAGGAGAAACTCTACCAGTAAAGCCCATGCCTGGACTACTCGTGAGTATTTAATTAATAGAAATGAATGCCAAGTATTAAAGGCAGCACTCAGAAGTGCTCGTCAAATAGACACAGTGTTCCTCGTGGCCTTTGCTTAGCTTATGTATGTTTTGTCCTGCAGGTATAATGCTAATAAGCAGACTGTGCGCTCCTGGGACGGGCGAATGACTGTGTGTCTGTGACTGCCCTCTACTGGCTGGCTGAGAGTGTCATGGTCTCTCACAGAGAAACAGAGACCAGCATCTAAAGGCTGGTCTACAATGAAAGGCTACATCCACATAGAGATGGCATTCGGGAGTGTGGAAAATCCACACCCTGAGAGACATCTTTAACTGCCCCCCCACCCCAAAAAAAAAAAATAGAAAAAGGCAATAGCTCATTTCATCTTTTTCCAAATGATTTTTCAGTCTGAAATGACTTTGTTTAGAAATGTCCTTTCATTTGGAAGGCCAAAGCACAACTGGAGTTGCAGCTAGCAAGGGATGTGAAGGGTAACGAGAAGGGTTTCTACAGGTACATTAGCAACAAGAAGAAGGTCAGGGAAAGTGTGGGGCCCTTACTGAATGGGGGAGGCAACCTAGTGACAGACGATGTGGAAAAAGCTAATGTACTCAATGCTTTTTTTGCCTTGGTCTTCACGGACAAGGTCAGCTCCTAGACTGCTGCACTGGGCCGCACAGTATGGGGAGGAGGCGAGCAGCCCTCAGTGGTGAAAGAACAGGTGAAGGACTATTTAGAAAAGCTGGACATGCACAAGTCCGTGGGGCCAGATCTAATGCATCCGAGGGTGCTGAGGGAGTTGGCTGATGTGATTGCAGAACCATTGGCCAGTATCCTTGAAAACTCATGGCAATCGGGGGAGGTCCCAGATGATTGGAAAAAGAGAAATATAGTGCCCATCTTTGAAAAGGGGAAGAAGGAGAGTCTGGGGAACTACAGACCAATCAGTCTCACCTCAGTCCCTGGACAAATCTTGGAGCAGGTCCTCAAAGAATCAATTTTGAAGCACTTGGAGGAGAGGAAGGTGATTAGGAACAGTCAACGTGGATATGGGGAAAGCGGTGAACGTGATATATCTTGACTTTAGCAAAGCTTTTGATATGGACTCCCACAGTATTCTTGCTAGCAAGTTAAGGAAGTATGGATTGGATGAATGGACTAGAAGGTGGATAGAAAGCTGGCTACATGATGGGATGGATTGCACCCTCAGCAAGTTCGCTGATAACGCTAAGCTGGGGGTGAGGTAGATACGCAGGAGGATAGGAATAGGGTCCAAAGTGACCTAGACAAATTGGAGGATTGGGCCAAAAGAAATCTGATGAGATTCAACAAGGACAAGTGCAGAGTCCTGCACTTAGGAAGGAAGAATCCCAGGCACTGCTACAGACTGGGGACCAACTGGCTAAGCAGAGGTTCTGCAGAAAAGGACCTGGGGATTACAGCGGATGAGAAGCTGGATATGAGTCAACAGTGTGCCCTTGTTGCCAAGAAGGCTAACGGCATATTAGCAGGAGCATTGCCAGCAGATTGAGGGAAGTGATTATTTCCCTCTATTCGGCACTGCTGAGGCCACATCTGGAGTATTGTGTCCAGTGTTGGGCCCCTCACTACAGAAGGGATGTGGACAAATTGGAGAGAGTCCAGCGGAGGGCAACAAAAATGATTAGGGGGCTGGGGCACATGACTTACAAAGAGAGGCTGAGGGAACTGGGCTTATTTAGTCTGCAGAAGAGGAGAGTGAGGGGGGATTTGATAGCTGCTTTCAACTACCTGAAGGGGGGTTCCAAAGAGGATGGAGCTTGGCTGTTCTCAGTGGTGGCAGATGACAGAACAAGGAGCAATGGTCTCAAGTTGCAGTGGGGGAGGTCTAGGTTGGATATTAGGAAACACTATTTCACTAGGAGGGTGGTGAAGCACTGGAATGGGTTCCCTAGGGAGGTGGTGGAATCTCCATCCTTAGAGGTTTTTAAGGCCTGGCTTGACAAAGCCCTGGCTGGGATGATTTAGTCGGTGTTGGTCCTGCTTTGAGCAGGGGGTTGGACCTTGTGAGGTCTCTTCCAACCCTAATCTTCTATGATTCTATGACTGTATTAAAAAAAAAATCAAACAAGTTTAGAATGGTCAGAATCAAAATGAAACGTTTCATTTGACCTGTGTTTTATCTTTTTGATTTGCCAACGCTTGTGAACATTTCATTTTCAGACCGACGACCAAATAATGATTTTTTTTTAATGGCTAGTGAATGGAAAAATTGTGATTTGCCCAGCTCTGCTTTCAAAATCGATTGCAGGCTATAGAGTGGAGAATCATTTGGCTACACAGCAGGCCCAGTTAGCTGGCTGTCTCACCTAACCAAAGGTTAGCTGTGTCCCCTGGAGGGGATTTCTCAGTGACTGAAGCGGGAGAGAGAGCCAGGAGACCCTTCCCTGGTGTAAATCAGTGTCGCTCCACTGACTTCACCCAAGCTATGCTGATTTACGCTGGCTGAGGATCTGGCCCAAACTCAGTGTTGACAGCTCACCCAGTGGTATCACAACTCTCATGACATTTAGTGAGTTTTTTTGTAAAGCCCCAGCTCTTGGAGTCATGGGATTAGGTGATAATCTCGGCTTTCATTTTTTTTAGAAGTACATTTCCAACTTGCGATAGAGCGAGCCCCCACCTGAGGCACCCTCCAGCATCAGGCCACGGCACAAGCAGTGGGCCTGCCTCAGTTTCCCCTTTTGTTTGCCCAAGAAAGGAACATAATCTCTCTGTGTCCAACACAAAGCCTGCCTCTGGGCATAATTTATTCACACACAGTGCAGCAACTCTCCCCACCCCCAACCTTGTAATAAAAACCATTCTCCAATTCCCACAATAAAGAAAGATACTGCAGGGTTTTTTCCCATTCCCCTCTCCAGAGACATCACCTCCAAGTCACCCACCCGAGGGTCAATAGCGGCACTTTGTTCCCAGTTCCTTTTGGCCCTGATTCAGAGCCCCGTTGTCCAGTATTTTCCCCCAGGCAGCTCCCCCTCCTGCAGTGTCCGGCTCCTCCATGCCTGTACCCCTGCTCAGTGGGATCCACCATCCCACAAGAACCCCCTGGCTTCTGGGCTTGGCTTCCGCTGACCCAGCTGGAGCCTCCCCTTTCCGAGGGGCCACTGCCTGAGCCTTCTCCTCCCCGGGGATCCCGAGCTTTGCTCCGTTCTCACCAACAGCTTTCTTCCAAGATCCCTGCCCAGTTACTGCTCTCCCTTCAAACTCAGCTCCCGCCAGCTCTGCCTTCTGTCTCTGAGTCCTCTCAGGGGCTGACTCTCTGGGTTTCTGCTGGTATGTCTACACTGCACCCCAAGCCCGGGTCTGTGGGACTCGGCGTTTCCAAGCTCACGCTTGAATGTCCATGCTGCACGGTAAATCTGGGTTTACAATGGCAGGATCCGGGTCTCACAGCCGTGCTCATGCATCCGCGCTGCACTACGCAGACCTTCTGACTCGGATCTGTGGCTTCGTCTGCGTCCACACTGCTTGGACCCGAGTCCCAGCAGGACTTGGGCTCTGACCCACGCCCCAAGCAGGATCCTAGGAGCCGGGTCCCTTGTGCCAGTCAGACTGATAGGTGTGTGGATGGAAGTGGGGGCTTGGGCTCGAACCCAAGTCACAGCCCAGGCTTAGTGTGCAGTGTGGACACACCCTGTGTCTCCTGCTCTGAGACAGCTCTCACCCGCTGATCACCTTCTCCTTCTGCCATTCTACTGACAATGAGGCTGATGATCAATAATGCAGGACGAACACCCGAAATATGAGTGACGTAATGTGGCTCTAATTGGCCAGCAGAGATGTCCCCCCCCTCATTGTAGGGAGCGCTGAGCGGACACAAAGCTGTGGAGCCCCTCTAGCGCAGGGGGCAGGAGGGAGCGAGATGGAACATGTCTGCACTCTGCCAGTTCTCAGCTGGCGTGCAGTCCCCTGTGTACAAGGAGCTTAAAAGCCCCCCCACCCCCCGGGGCTGGCTGAGGTACATTGAAGGCCTCTCCGGCCCATGGAGCACCCCAGGCCTAGGAGGGCATAAAGGTGGATTACAGTCTCCAAGCCCCACCGCGCCAAGAACGGCAGGCTGGGAGATCTATGTTGCACCACTTAGAGACACAGCACAGAATCTGTCTCGGGGTGTCCTTGTACCTATTGGGGCGAGGTCTGAGCCAGAGCTGGGAGTCAGGTTTTAACACCCGGGAGACAAACTCCCTGAAGTTTGCAGTATGGGCGATTTAACCCCAGCAGAACCCCAGAGCCCTTCAGCCCAACTAGCCCTTACCCCAGGTCGCTAATGTCCATTCAGCAACTCCAGGAACAAAGCTAGAGGGGACAGAGAGGTTGGTGTAGGGGAGGGTGGGTAGCGTGCTTACCAGTGGTGTTACTGCTCGGAGGTAAATTCTCACAGTATTGATCCTGGATGGAAGCCGAGGTGGGGCTAATCCAGAGGATAAATACCTGCAGACAGAAGAGGAGGAAGCAAACACTGTTAGGGCTGTGGGTGGCTGTCACAGTACGTAACTCAGGTTTGCTTTGGTCACATTGTCTCAGCCTCCTGATGGGGCCTCAGGGACATTCCCTTGTGGCAGCCCTCTCTGGGTGAGGACTGTGCACAAAGACACCTGATCCTGGCCCAATGAGGATCCTCAGAGCCAAATCCATCCCTGGCGTAATGCCCCTGGAGCCACAGGAATTACTCTCGGAGGCCCAGAGCTGTCTAGGAGTATTAATTAATTATTATTATTATTATTATTCTGCATGAGAATCTGCAATAAACTCCCTTTGCTCCTCTAAGGGGCTGATTTTCATCTACACTAATAATTAATTAATAGCTGGCACTTTTATAGCACTTTTCATCGATAGCTCTCAGAGCCCTTTACAAAGGAGGTCAGTACTATTATCCCCATTTTACAGATGGGGAAACTGAGGCACAGAGCCAGGAAACAGATTTGCCTAAGGAGCCTTCAGGGAACATACATTACATTTACTCTCACTTTAAGAGCCCTCTCCACACCCAGAACCATATAAAGTGGCCTTAATGTAAATGAAAATCAGGCCGTAGGTTTTTGAAATTTATCACATTTATTCTGCCCCTCCCCCCAAAAAAACTTTGTTCACCACTTTCCTAGGCACCGGAATGAAAAATAAGCTTGCTCGGGTGTATTTGCTCCCAATGCAGACTCTAAGGGTTTGGACACACTGCAATCGGAGGTGTGAGCGCAGCATATTAGCTTTGATCTAGTGAGCCCAGGTCTCAATAGCAGTGACGCCGTGGCCGCATGGCCTTCAGTTCAAGCTAGCCGCCCAAGTAACTAGCCAGGAGCTCGGGTGGGCTTGTATAGCCTGTGCTGAAACCCATGCTGCTGCAGCTTCACTGCTATTGGCACCCAAGCTAGTGACATCCCAGCTATGTCTACATGAGCTTCAATCACATCCCCTGACTGAAGTGTAGACGTACCCTGAAAAGCCAGGAAAACCCAAAGTAAGGGGCCATTCCAACCCAACGCAAGAGCAGCGTGCAAGCGTTAGCCCACACAGCACCCTCTACAACGCAATCACTCCCAACTCAGGCTCAGTGAAGACACCACAGCCCCAGGAACCACATTGCAACCTACTCCGACCAACCACAGCCCCAGGAACCACATTGCAACCTACTCCGACCCACCACAGCCCCAGGCACCACACTGCAACCTACTCCGACCCACCACAGCCCCAGGAATCACACTGCAACCTACTCCGACCCACCACAGCCCCAGGAACCACACTGCAACCTAAACCGACCCACCACAGCCCCAGGAATCACACTGCAATCTACTCCGACCCACCACAGCCCCAGGAATCACACTGCAACCTACTCCGACCCACCACAGCCCCAGGAACCACACTGCAACCTACTCCGACCCACCACAGCCGCAGGAACCACACTGCAACCTACTCCGACCCACCACAGCCGCAGGAACCACACTGCAACCTACTCCGACCCACCACAGCCGCAGGAACCACACTGCAACCTACTCCGACCCACCACAGCCGCAGGAACCACACTGCAACCTACTCCGACCCACCACAGCCGCAGGAACCACACTGCAACCTACTCCGACCCACCACAGCCCCAGGAACCACACTGCAACCTACTCCGACCCACCACCGCCCCAGGAACCACACTGCAACCTACCCCGACCCACCACCGCCCCAGGAATCACACTGCAACCTACTCCGACCCACCACAGCCCCAGGAGTCACATTGCAGCCCACTCCGACCCACCACAGCCCCAGGAACCACACTGCAACCTACTCCGACCCACCACAGCCCCAGGAACCACATTGCAACCTACTCTGACCCTATTTAGCAATGGCCCAACAATTATCATCTTCCTTTTCAGCCTTAGCAGTTGCAGGTATCACAGAGCCGAGAGAGAAAGCGTGCAAAGCTGTCTTCACATTCAAACCCTGTTACCTTATGGAAGACAAATAATAAATACTACTGCTAATAAAATCACCGACTTTTACTACATTGTTACGCTGGAAGATGTTATTGGCTTCCATCAAGCTGGTCTTTGATCTATAGACAGTCACAAACCTGGTTAAAGTTGATGGATGTCCAAAGCAAAGGCCAAGGGCTTGTCTGATTGGGGAAATCACCCAGAATTGCTATTGTAGAACCAGGGCCGGCTCTAGGTTTTTTGCTGCCCCAAGCAAAAAAAAGCAAAAAAAAATGTTGGCCCCCCCCCCCCCCCACACACACCCTGCCGCCCCAGCTCTGGGTTCCCCCTACCGCCCCACCATTGACCCACACACACACCTCCTGCCGCTCCAGCCCTGGGCTCACACCCCCCCCACCTGCACCCTCCTTCCACCGCAGCCCTGGGTCACTGGTAACTCGCTCCCAGGGCCGGTCATTCAGCAGGAATTTTAGATGTGCACAGAACACAGACAGGATTGGTTCCCATATGGTTACAGAACTGCAGTAAAGTGGAACAATTTTCAGCTTGTGTGATTGGAGGATATCTGGATGCATATTATAAGACTGTCCTACATAAATGAGGAAAAGTTGAGGTGCCTTTATTATTCTTTTCTTCCACTCTTTGTTTCTATGGGGAATTTGCCAATGCAATATCACTGTCTTCCTTTTAAACAAACAAAAAAAGGCAATGGCTGTTGAAAATAGCAATTCCAGTCCTAATAACCACTGGGAAGCATTTCTTGCTCAATTTTATCCTACTTTTTCTACAGCAAGTTACAGTGGATCAGTATATTTGATTTGGGAGAAATGAAGTAACAGCTGCCCAAACTGAGCTTGAGCACTCCTGAATTTTGAGGTGTTCAAATTACAGGTGCTGGGGGGGGGGAACTGTGGCTCCGCGGGGGAGCACGGCAGCATATATGCAGCAGCGTATATGGCGCTGCGCGAAGCCAGACACGCTGGTCTGAGTGGCACAGTAAGGGGGCTGGGGGGTTAGATGGGGCGGAAGTTCGGGGGGGCAGTCGGGGGACAGGCAGCAGTTGGATAGGCATGGGAATCCCAGGAGTTTGTCAGGGGACAGGTAGGGGGTGGGGCCCTAGGGGGGGAAGTTGGGGGGGTCTCAGGAGGGGGCAGTTGGGGACAAGGACCAGTGGGGCTTAGATATGGGGTGCGGTCCTGGGGGGCAGTTGGGGCAGGTGTCCAGGGAGGGGGTGATCAGGGGACAGGGAGCAGGGGGGGTTGGATGGGTTGGGGTTTCTGTGGGGGGCAGTCAGAGGGAGTGGATGGTGGCAGGGTGGGGCTACCCTCCCTCCCCGTGGAGTGTCCTATTTTTTGAATGTTAAAATATGGAATCCCTACTCACAGTGCAGCTCTCCATTCACAGCAGGCTGCAGCATGAGGTCTCAGCTTCCTCCCTCCCTCCCCCTCTTTCCTGTTGGTAGTGGCCAAGGGAATGCTGGGAAATGTAGTTCTTTCCCTGCTCCAGGGCTGGCTCTATAGGCAGGGAGCTAACCAAGGAACTACAGCTCCCAGGACCCCCTGTTGGTTCTCAGCTCCCTGCCGCCCCTGCAAATGGGCTGCCCCAAGCACGTGCTTGCTTTGCTGGTGCCTAGAGCCGCCCCTGTGTAGAACGAGCTGTTCTGGCACCGCCACCTGTGTAGACACTCTAATCCGGAGTAAAAGTCACTTTTATTCTGAAATGATTAGTGTGCTTCCAAAATGGAGTCGCTATTCTGGAATAAAATCACCCGCCCCAAGTCAGACAGAGAGCATGTACCACAGCGGAAGCTCAACCCTGGTCTCCTAACACACAGGCTAGTCCCCTCGCCACTGACCCGTCTGTCCTGCCTTATTTAGGGGCACCTGGGAAAATTCTGGCCCGTGTTAAAGCAAGATGCCAGGCAAGCGCTGTACTTCGACTGCAGCCGCTGGTGGAGAGAGGCAGCGCCTCTGATTTCTTCGGGGGCAGTGTTACATCCTGACGTATTGTCATGCGGTTTGTTGAGATGAGATTTGAGCTCCAAGTCCCCGGAGTAAAACCGCCTCCCTCTGATGAAAAGAAATAATCGAGATGCGTGTCAGAAATGGCCCGGGAAGCCCTCCCCTCGCTGCAGGCCGTTTAGCGGTGGGCTCTCCTAATTGCAAACCAGCATGGGCTCGGTCCTCAGTCACTTGTGATGAAGGGGGTTGTCCGAGGGCACGTGTTCTTAAGTCGTGTCCCACTGGGAGCCCGCTGCGTGGGTTTGCCTGGTGTTAAAACGAGGGAGTGGAAGGGTTTAGTGCTTAGAGCCGGGGAGTCAGGACTCCTGGGTTCTTAGGTCTGTGATGGGAGAAGGGACTAGTGGTTAAAGCAGGGAAACAGAGTCAGAACTCCTGGGTTCTATTTTTAGATTGGGGAGGGGAGTTTATTGGATAGAGAAGTAGGGTGACCAGATGTCCTGATTGTATAGGGACAGTCCTGATATTTGGAGCTTTTTCTTATATAGGCTCCTATTACCCCCCAGTCCCTGTCCCGATTTTTCACACTTGCTGTCTGGTCACCCTATAGAGAAGGGACTCCTGGGTTTTATTCCTAGTAAGGTCATTGGCTCACTGTGTGACCTTAGGGAAGTCACTGGGTCAAATTCATCCCAGGTGCAGCTGCACTAACCAGGACAGAATTTGACTGCCTGTGCCTCAGTTTACCCACCTATATAAACAGGACGATAATTATTTTTCTCCCTCAGAAGGTTGTTAAGACGGGTAGGTAATTAGGGCCTATAAAATGCTTTGACGGCCTCTAGTGAAACGCTGTGTACGATAAGCACCAAGGATCTGCTTCTTGCCCTAAATTCTGGATCAGGGTTGTGATGCTGCCAGATGTTCCACCCCAGAGGTGGATGAGGCAATCCCCCACTCTGGTTTGTGTGTCACTCTAAGTTCTCAGGGTCCCTTCAGGATGAAAAGTGCCTGCGGCGCGTGCGAAGGCTACTCTTACTGGCTGTTCCGATGGGAA